TACGTCTACCTAGGACAGACAGTCCAGTTAGGTAGGTCCAACTTTGAGAAAGAGATCTCTCGTCGTATCCAGCTCGGATAGGCAGCGTTCGGGAAGCTACGAAAAATATTCGCGTCCAAATTACCTCAGTGTCTCAAGACAAAAGTCTTTGACCAGTGTGTGTTGCCAGTGATGACCTACGGAAGCGAGACGTGGTCCTTTACTGCGGGTCTCATAAGAAGGCCTTGACCTTGAGGTCACGCAGCGAGCAATGGAGAGAGCGATGCTTGGTGTTTCCCTACGCGATAGAATCAGAAATGAGGAAATCCGTAGGAGAACCAAAATTACCGATATCGCTAAAACGATGGCTCTGCTGAAGTGGCAGTGGGCGGGACACGTAGCAAGAAGAACCGATGGCCGTTGGGGCGGAAAGGTTCTAGAATGGCGACCACGCACCGGACGACGCTCTGTGGATAGGCCCCCCACAAGGTGGACCGACGATCTTGTGAAGGTCGCGGGAAGCCGATGGATGCGAGTGCCGCAGGACCGATCGGGGTGGAGATCCTTGGGGGAGGCCTATGCTCAGCAGTGGGCGTCATACGGCTGACATGATGATGATGATGATGATGATGATCTTACATTATGTCAAGGAACGTTGGTAGTATTTCTAATGATATGTGGTATGCTATATATTCTCCTACAGGTTTTTTTTTTAATATGTAGAAACTTACTTTGTTAAGATAATACGGTCACCTTACGAAGAGGAGGTACTGGTGTACTGAGATACAAACTTTCGCTTAGTTCAGGTATCAGTCTCGCAATCTTATGAAACATACAAATATTGTTTATATTATAAGTTGTAACCTGTAGAATGTGTAGATTGTTGCAGAAAAAGAAATAGTTATTATAATTTTATGTTTTGGTGGGCCCTAATGGTTATTACTTACGCAATTTTGATTTATTAAGAATTTTTGTTTTTTTTTTTAATTATTGCTCAACCATAAAAATTTATTTTTACTACAGACTGTTGAAACTTATAACACTATGGGCCAATAGATGTGTCCGGAAGTATATTTAAAATAATATACAATACTTGAGTGGAGACCGGCACTATACGTCCCTTATAATGAACGCACAGCCAAGGTAGCCTGCTAGCTGTATTACGCAACGCATAGTGCCAAAATATCCACTCTTTGACTGCATTTCCGCTTCTCTTCAGTAGACAGACTTTTTGCAATCTTAATGGTTATTATTTCGCAGTTTCTCCGTTCCGCAACCTCTCTCCGTCCAGTGGACAGGCAGCCATTAGCGTAGCCACGTGGCATACTGCGCGTGCCCACGAGTGATTACACTAGAGCCAAGTGAGCGGACGCTTCACAACCCCCACAACCGACCCCACGTCGATCAGAATCGCTTGGTCTGCGTGATGTCAGACTGCTCATCGCCACGCGAGGCGGGACTAATGTGTTCAATCCTATGCTAAATGTATGAAAGCAATTGCTTTCCCACGCATGGCGACACACGGGGCAGGTTAAGTATAAACGCAGTTTACACTTTAGAGCGAAGTCCCAGCGCGTCACAGTATGATATAGATCAGCTATACTCTAAGTGTGTTCCGCGGAACCCTAGGGTTCCGTGATACCTCTGTCGGGGTTCCGCAAGAATTTAGAAATAAAAAAATCAAAACACCTCTCTCTGGTCGCTCCGCGGCTGTGCGGACTCCGCGGCCGCGCGGAGACAAAACGCTATGAATGTTATTTATTTATTTATTTGTATTTGTATAAGCTTGTGTTACATTAGCTGGTACAATATCTCATAAGTTTGGTCTCAACAATTTTATACTTGTACAACGCGTTCGCTCTAAGTTTGCCGGTCTGTGGAATGCGCGTACCCTCCCCCACGTGACAACAAAACTTATAATGTGTCATAGTTTTACCCAAATATCTAACGTACACAATTTTTATTGTTACAATTAAATAAAAAATTTCGAACGTCATACACTCATACCTATCGCCAGCGGCAAACTTAAAACGAGCGGGTAGGTATACTTGTAAGCGCTCAGTCTCTTTGATAAAAGCCGCCTCTGAATTAGACGCTATAGTTGTCAACTAGCGACTTTCGTCTCTAACTTCAAAGGATAAAGTCGATATTGTTTACAACGCTATTTTTAAATTTCTGTTTTTATTTTTGCTTTTTGTTTATCAAAGGTGCCGACTCGAGTATTTTCGAGAATATTTGAGATCGAGTCTAGGACTAAGTATAAAAGCGGCGATCGCGCGTTGGCGTCGTCAGTTGATGATTAGCGTTCGGAGCGATAAGTTACTACCTACTTACAAGCTCGCTAGCGAGAAACTGGTGTTCATTGTTTTACTGCCTGCTGTATTCTGTTGTCTCAGTTTTATACATTTCTTCCCTGTAGGTTCTAAATTTAGTCTCTTATACGCAGTAACGATTGTGCATTATTTAAACCCCACTATCCTGACTTGTAACATTATAAATAAAGAAGAATGGAACGTTGGCTTAAAGGTGTTAAACGTGTTCCAACAACATCTTCTAATGACGCTGAATGTTCAAAAGCAATGCGCGCGGAGAATTTAGCAATCACCGATCCAGAAGATGATGCCACGAGTGCCACGACGTCAAGCTCGACGGTTTCAAAGACGAAAAAAAGGAAGTATGATGAATCTTATATCAGTTTCGGATTTGTTGATTCCAACGGCTCACCTCTCTGCATGCTCTGTAGTAAACTGCTTCCTAATAGTTCCATGGCACCTGCCAAATTGCGTCGACATTTAGAAACCGTACACCCCGAGACTAAAGACAAGAATAAAGAATTTTTTGTTCGCAAAAAAGATCAGTTATTAGAAAGTCAAAAAAATATGATGCATGTAACACAAACTACCAACGAAAAGGCCACGGAGGCATCATACTTAGTTAGCTATCGCATTGCACAAGCAGGTGAAGCGCACACTATCGCTGAGAAATTAATAAAACCATGTGTATTAGACATAACAAAATGTATGCTTGATGAAAAATCTGCAAAGCATCTTTCTACTGTTCCGCTATCAAACGATACTGTTTCACGACGAATCCATGATCTGGCAAGCTACGTCAAACAAGAACTAGTTACACGTCTACAAAATACACGATTCGCTTTGCAAATGGACGAGTCGACTGATGTCGCTGGTTTGGCTATCCTGCTGGTTATTGTGAGATATCCATATAAAAGTTCTTTTGAAGAAGACATGCTTATGTGTTCATCGCTGCTTACAAACACTACCGGGGAAGAAATTTTTAATAAAATAAATATATTTTTTGAAGAACATAATCTCAGTTGGAACAATTGCATTGACATTTGTACAGATGGGGCCAAGGCGATGACAGGTAAAACAGCAGGAGCAGTGTCACGAATGAAAAATAAAGCGCCTAATTGTAGTTCCAGTCATTGTATTCTGCATAGACAAGCACTTGCGATGAAGCAAATGCCGTCTAATCTAAAATTAGTTATGGATGAAGCGGTAAAAATAATTAATTTTATCAAATCACGACCACTACAATCCCGATTGTTCTCATTATTGTGTGAAGATTATGGCAGCAAACATAAAACACTGCTGCTCCATACAGAAGTGCGATGGCTGTCTCGGGGAAAAACTTTAACAAGGCTATTTGAACTTAGAGCCGAGTTACAAATGTTTCTTTCAGCAGATACTTCTTTTAATTTGAAGGACCGTTTGTATGATAAAACTTGGTTGTTCCGATTGTCTTTTATGGCGGATATCTTTCAAAAACTTAACGAATTAAATTTATCATTGCAAGGTAAACAGACAACAGTGTTTCAGGCCTATAATAAAATAACTACTTTTAAAAGAAAATTAGATTTTTGGATCATTTGCATTGGTAAGAAAGAAATAGAAAGTTTTACGTTACTCACTGAGTTTGTTAGCGAAAACGACTCAGAAATGTTTGAAGATAATGTGTTTGAAGAATTGGTCCAATATCTCAGTTCGATGCGCGCATCTTTTGAAAAGTATTTTCCCGAAGAACACAATACAAAAATTAAAGTGAACTCCTGGATTCATAATCCTTTTTTACCCAACTTGGAAAAGCCTGAAAACATGTCAAATGAGATATATGAATCTCTTTTAGAAATGTCATCAGACACAAGTATGGAGTCATTGTTCAAAACGACGCCTCTTAATGATTTTTGGTGCAGAATCCAAGATGAATATGCAATGCTTGGCCAAATGGCTCTGGATATTCTTCTCCCGTTCCCAACTACATATTTGTGCGAAACAGGATTCTCTACCTACGCAGCCACGAAAACAAAATATCGCAATAGACTGGACGCCGAAGCTGATATGAGACTCCAACTTTCTTCCATCAAACCTGATATCAAGCAATTGATGAAAAATAAAAAACAGTTTCATACCTCCCACTAGTTAGATTTTTTCTTTTTTAATGTTTTCTATTATTGTCCTTACCAAGTGGTGAAGTAAATAATAATTAGTAACGGATACATTGTACTTTTATTATGCTGATTAATATAGAATACACTTATAAAAATAATTGTTTTATTGTAGGGTTCCATCAAGTATTTTGCTTCCCAAAAGGGTTCCGTCATTTAAAAAGTTTGAGAACCACTGATATAGATAAATAGGATAGGTAACATTGATATATTAGTATTACTAGCCATGTTTTTGGAATTGGTAGGTATCATAATATTGTTATTTAGCTTAGTTGGTTTTTTATGTTTTTTTCCGTTAACAATTTCGAATAATTGTATTCACCTGTAAAGACATATCTTATAGTCTTGTCAAAACGTAATTAAAATCAAGTGTGGTCTAGTCAAGGCAACCATAAGATGAGGTGCGAGGCAGGGCGGGCATCGAGTCTGCCGGTGATACACTGTGCGTCGGTGCAGCTTACGATTAACTTAGCAACCATTGTGTCTAGCCGGTTGATTGTATTGAACGCCAAGACTCGCTTACCATTACATTTTATCGTTTTTTTCATTTATAATGTTAGTGAATCTTTACAAACAAATACATAGATCTGAAATTATGCTTACGAATGTTGAAAGTTGGAGGAGCAGATGTTTCAAAATACACAGTACTTACTTGTTGAGTACTTGCAAAGCTGTTGTTGTCAAATTGTGGGTGTTGCTCCATTTGTAAAACGAGTTCAATGTGCTGATTCATAGAGTCGTTCAGTGTCATGCCTGTCAACAAAAAATATAAGTTGAATCGTGATACATGCAAAAATTATGATTAATCAGTTTATAAGACCTGGCGATTTCCACACTGCTTGAAGTGTGTGAGTGGATGATACTAAATAAGCTACCACGCTTTTTTAATGGTTTAAGGATTCTGTTTAGAATATTTAGAGATATGGAAAACCTAATATTCGGCGAGCTTCCTGGCCGAATAGCCCAATATTAGGCAAAAATATTCGGTCAGTCTGTGGCGAAAATACTTTGTTTTCAGCGTTTCTAATGTACACAAGGTCTATTGCAATGGCACTGCGTGTTTTAATAAGTTTACTTTGTGCATATTGCAGCAAAATATTTGTCGGCCGCCAGGAAGTAGTGTTTAGACAGAGCGTGTTATCTCAAAAATTGGACCTTTGACGAGTAAAAAGGTAAAATTCTTATAAATTTTTATTACAACGATTATTCAAAAGCATTAAAATATCATAAAATTTTGTAATTCAAGATGATTATGTACAGTTAAGAGTAACAAGCCATCGAGTTCGCTAGCGGCTTGTTAGCGAACTCGCGAGTTTGTAACTTGTAAACTCCTCCCATGTCATCGAGGCTTTACAGTAAGCCACCCAAAACTCGCTAACTCGTCTAATAGATTTTGAGCTCTAACATGCTTGATTTAAGACTCATAATCAATTGCGATAATTTGTAATTTTGTGGCAACTTGATGTGTGAGACTGACTGCGGCAATGACTATTTTCATGATTGTAAGAGAAATAAATATATTATAATAAAAACGAGTCAATAAATTACGATTCAATAAAATACGATTAAGACAAGACTCGGGAATCACTCTCCTCTTTATAGAATGTTGTCAACCTATAATGCTATTCGAAATGATTTCGACATATTTAAAGGTTCTAAAACCTCAACCAGAAAATGTTTAAATTCAATATTCTCTGATGAGGTTTTATTAGTTTTTAGTTTTAACTTTCACTTAATTTTTTTAGTTGGAGTTTAACCTATATGTACTATATTTATCCTTTAGTATATATCCTTAGTAGTTAGGTAGTTTTAGAAATGCATGCTGTGCTTGCATCTAGTAGGTTGCAAAGTAGTTGATGTTTTTTTTGTATGCATATATTTATATGGATATTCTTTGTAACCAGTTTTGTGAGCCAAAAAAAAAAAATATTGCATTTTTCAATTATCTCAGTACAACAAAATATATTACTTAAGTATTCGGTATTCGGAAGAATATAATAACACCCGTATTCACAAAAAATAATTGTTTAAGTAAAGTAGCAACACTGTGCAAAGTAAGACATTTCTCAGTGCGTTTTACTTGGCAAACCTTTCATAAATATAATCATAAACAATACTCAAATGACTCTTCGCTCTGAGAATGCACAGCGTTGAATAGAGCTCTGTGATTGGCTCATTTTTTGTTAAGTACACACACCGTTCTGAATGACATGATTATCATTTGTCAATTGTCATAATTCATAACGTTTTTGAAACCAAACAGTGCTTGAGAGCATTTTGTGTTTCGTGGTAATAATAATATTAAATCTCGTATCACTTTTCTGGTACTTATTCTGTTTTGCTCATTGATATAATTATCAATTTCTTCTTCAAAAGAACGCTATTATTTTCGAATACAGCCGCAAACAAAGAAAAAACAAAACCTCGAACAGCAAATAACAGTCAACGCAAATAACCAAAAATTTTTGACGAAGTCAAAAAGAAAAGAACTATAGGCACTATGCGTTGCGTAATACAGCTAGCAGGCTACCTTGGCTGTGCGTTCATTATAAGGGACGTATAGTGCCGGTCTCCACTCAAGTATTGTCTATGAATAAGTTTTTCGGACCCTGTGCGTTAACGCACCCTGTGAGACCTCATAGTAATGTTTATGAATACGGGTGTAAAAGTGGCCGAATAGGACGTATACCGAATAGAAACCGAATATTCGTTGCAAATCTACTTCTGTTATTTGGAGGGTATTAAGCCATTGTGTAAGACGATGAATGTGGGTGGTTCCAAATCAGTAGCAAAATCTGCACTGTGCCCAATATTTCTTCTTTAAATTATAAATGGAAATTAGTCACTATCAGCAGGTGAACAGATTAAGATGAAGCAGGGAACAGCCCCTGGTATAACATTTTTATTATTCTGCCGTCTATTTATCCTGTGGTTTGCGTTTATTAACAACATTACCAGAATTACCTGGATGTATTTGTGGATGCTGGGGATGTGGCAAGCCTTGCAGTGGTCCGACGCCTAACATTCCAGGATGTGGCTGTGAATGTAATACAAACAAAGATATAAGATACGCAACAGCCTTTTATTAGCAATTTGACAGGATTCAATTTCCTTATATTATTAGAACAAATGACCAATTGTAACATGTTTTTAAATTATAGTTTTTGTATACTTCTGAGACAAAAGACAAAGAAGCCATAAAAAGGTTTTTCAACAGGTGGAATTTATAAGCATAGGGGCCGTTCAAGTATTACGTAAGCAGATTTATTACAATTATTTACCCCCTCCTCCCCCTTGTCAGCAAAAGTAAGCAAAGCTCTATCTCCCAAACATTGGTACCTATACATTTTTCCTTTAATGTATTCTTTTTTTTTATTCATTCATGAGCTTTCATGAGCTTCATGAGCAGCAGTACTTAAATAGGCTTAGGATAAAGGATTTAACGCACATAATATTCATTGAAACCAACTTTTTTGACACAGTATTCAACATTAAGTAAGGTCCTATTACGAACAAAACCAACTTCTTTCGAATTTTTGGTATATGTATACAATCTTCAGTCCATGACACCCGAATCCATGATGCTGACGTAATCACTTTCTCACCCCCCCATGTCATCAAAAATAAGGAACGCAAAGACCCCCCCGCCCCCCTATAGTGATTACGTAATACTTGAACGGCCCCATACATAAAATCGTAACTTCTAGCCATCCAGGAAAGGCTACTCCACCATAGTGAGTATAATCCTAGTTGCTCTTTTCGGTGATGAGAGGGATGAGAGGCCTCGACGGACGGCTCTGGGCGTCACCGCGGTCTTCTAGCCAGGTTTCCTCTCCGTGCGGCGACAATGTATCTTTCGATGGAGTCTGGCGAACCGCTATGGTAAACTTTCTCCTCATCATGCCAATATTTACTATCAAAATCTATGGCAATCCAAAGTTTTTGCTCAGAACATTTACGATTTGCCACCGTACGATCCCCAGAATATGTAAATTAAATCAAATCAAAATATAGCTTAGTAACGAATGCGAAGTAAAAAGGTAGGTATGAGGTTTGGCAGCGGGGTGGTCCTTATCGGAACATGTGAAAAATGGTACTTTAAGGTTGATTTTCGTTTGATAGACGCGGGGCGGAGTTGACCCGCGGCCCATCCCTGCGCTAAGGAATCCCTCCCAACCTGCTTCTGTATTCCCCGATTTATATGGGGACATACAAGGCAGCAGGCATTATTTGAGTTTGCATGCTCCAAACGTAGACTTAAGACTACATCGTTGCTTAATATCAGAAACGATTGTGGCCAAACCAATAATCGCATGCTTTATATTTGACCAAATAAAAAGATAGTCCCTTTTCATAAGAGAAATAAATATATTGGACTGTTGATGATGATTAATAAATTGGTTTTCTTTTTACACATATTTGTGAATTCACAAAGCAGCTGTCTAGACTATACAATATAATTCAAATTATCCTTGCCATTTTGAACCTCAAAAGATGGGCAAAGCTTTATTTGATTGCAGAATTTTATTCATAAATTTTCCGTTTGTCTATACTAACTGACTTGAGCATCGGCCAGCGGAAACACTCGTTGAGACACCCCGATACAGGCCGAGCCCGAGTACATGGTGCTCACGTCTTGTCCCATGGGTCTCGGTAGATTGTCTATTTTTGCGCCCGAGTTAAGGATCTCGTTGGATCTCACGAGGAAAATGAGAGAAAGCATGTACACACACATTGAGAAGCTCGATGGCGCAAGTGGTTTGTAAGCGCGTTCTACTGCGCTCGTTGAAATAAGGCAACTTTCGCAGTGGTCGGTCATTTGATGACCAAAAATTTACTATCTCGAGCTCCTCCGTGCGTAGGAAGGCACGTTAAGCCGTTGGTCTCGGCTGCATCTGCTGTCATTAGCACCCACCAATCCGCATTGGATCCGCGTGGTGGGTCATGGCCCAATCTCGCCTAGATACTATAGTATAACACGCGTAGTACCTGCGGGTGCGACAGGTGCGGCAGATGGTGCAGCGGCGGCTGCTGTGGCAAGTGGTGCGGCGGCAGCAGCTGGAAGGCGGCGCCGTCACCGTTGCGCACGCCCGCCGCGCCGCCCGCTTCCTCCTCCGCCGGTGACGGCTGCCGCGACCCGGGCGTGCGACTGCAAAACCAACTACGTGTCACGGACCGAGATATTATCTCTTGAATACAAGAAATACCTATTTCCCTCCCTCAAGCACGCCATAAATTGGACACTACTTCATGATTTAGGGGAAAGACAATACATGAATAAGTTTTCATGAAAATTCATCGTCTTTTCTTCAAAAATTATAAAGAGATTTTATTTATTATGGGACAAGTATTGTGATTATATTGTTTTAAAAAATGTAACTGTAATCTTATATTGAGATAATTTCGACTGCGTTTATCCACCTGTCAATCAGTTCCTTCTTATAAATATATTGAAGATAGCTTTCCGCCCACGTAGTGTAAAAACTTTCATTCGCCTTATTAATTCCTCAGAGGTAAAGTTATAAAAAATCTTAGCCTAATTAATTTTACAAAAGTTAAATGTTAAGTCCAGATGGCAGTTACATGTTAACTTTTGATCCCTATTATAAACCCCTAAAAATAAATTTCCAAAAATCTCCTTGTTTGTATTGCTTGCCTAAGTATTTAATTTAAAGGAATATTTGTGCAACAGTTCAATTATATATAAATACACTCCCGGACTCTTGAATCGAGCCACCTTACATTCCCGGGCCTAAAAGCCCAATACACAAAAAATATACAATATAACAAAAAAGTTTTTATGCATTTTTAATGCTGGCATATTTCATCGTCTTTCCCGTATGTATTATTCCAAATTTAAATTTTAGAATTTAAAATAAAGAACACAAATAAAGAACTTGGTCACTGATTTGAAATAATAAAATTAAGGTAAAAAATACCTTTTTAAAAACAAGCTTTTATTCAAATGCGCTAAAAAGAAAAAAAGAAAATTTCAACTAAATTAGTTAAAGATATCTGTTTCTAAATAGATTTTCAAATTTTAGAAGTCCGCCATATTGGATTGAGAGTGACGTCACATTTTTTTCGAGTTACTCTCAGCAAGCCCTTTAATTTAATACCCATATTGTAGGAATGCATTAAAAATTATTGGTCCGCCATTTTGGGTATGCCGCCATATTGGATTTAGAATGACGCCACACTGTTAATCATGCATTGTCATCCGAACTGAACGAGCATACCAAATTTCAGCTTAATCGGTTGAGGGCAAGTGCTTTAAAATTGAGTTGTAAGATTTGACCGTAACAAACATACATAGCAAGTTAAATAAAAGCTTGTAAAAAATAAAAAATAATGACTGTTGAAAGTTGCTTTTGAAGCAATTTAATGTCGATTTGGTTTGAATTTTCGCAATTGTTGTATACCAAAGTTTAGTTTAGTTATTTTTCTATAATTTGAACCGTTTTTGGCTATAAAATTATAGATACTTCACCTGAAGTAGCCGCGCAAGCTGTAGCACTTCTTCAATCTGGGCTAAGTTAGCGAGATGTGAGTTCACAACTTCACATAAGTCGTTCCGCTGTTCAAAGAGTGTACCACCGATACCTGGAGACTGGCGGCTTCGTTCGCAGAACAGGAGGACCTCGTTACCGAGTGACAACGGCGAACAAGATCAATACATTGTCACTACTAGCTTACGAAATCGACGCCTTAACTCTGTTCAGATACAAGAACAGCTCAGGGACTTTCACGGAGTGGCTTTTAAGTGCTCGGACCGTTAGAAGGCGACTCAATGAACGTGGTTTAAAACCCCATAAGCCAGCCAATGAACCCAAATTGACACGAGCACACCGAATAGCCCGTCTAGAGTTTGCGCGCGAACATCTAAATTGGACTCGACATCAATGGAGCCAGGTTCTCTTCACAGATGAGTCCAAGATAATGCTATACGGTAATGGCGGAAGAAGTAAGGTGTACCGAAGACAGAACGAGGGTTTCGCGCAATGCTGTATTGACGAGAAAGTGAGTTATGGTGGAGGATCATGGACAGTCTGGGGAGGAATCTCTATGGAAGGCAAAACTGAGCTAGAGGTAGTGACGGGACCACGACTGCCGCCCCTAGATGGCAATAGATACATTCGCCAATGTTTAGAGAACCACGTGATACCATATGCTGGATTTATTGGCCAAGATTTCGTTTTGATGCATGATAATGCAAGGGCCCATACTGCGGGAATCGTCAGGGAGTACTTAAATGACATTGGTATCACTGTTATGAGATGGCCAGCGCGAAGTCCTGTTATGAATCCTATAGAGCATCTATGGGATGAGCTGATGAGGCGTGTTCGAGCTCATCATCCTGCCCCGCAAACCATGCAGGAGCTCAAAAATGTAATTTTGGAAGAATGGGAGGACATTCCTCAACATGTCATAACGACATTGATTAATTTTATGCCAAACCGTATGAGAGCTGTCATAAATGCACCGGGAGGCAATACAAGTTACTAAATAAACATTTCTTTTCGTGTAAAACATGTCTTTACTTAAAAATCGATTACATTTTTTTCCTTGAAAAAAGCAAATATGGACTTGTTTCAACGTAACTCGACTTTTTTAATAAACTATAGTTCAAATTTAGAACAGTGGCACTCTAAATGAATGATGAGTATACCAGCTCCAAAACTGCATCATAACATTTTCCTTCTACATACATCTTTTATAAGTTACAGTACTCCAAACCAAAAAATCAAGGTGGCTCGATTTAGGTGTCCGGGAGTTTATATACAGATGAGATTTAAATAACCAAACATCAGTAACACATTTTAATATCTCTCTTGTTTTTAATTTACAGAATCTCCATTAACTAAAGTCGCACAGCAAATTAAAGTAGATTCTTCTAACATATTTTTCCAAAATAAGCATAATTGCAGATTGTGTGTTGTTAAATCAACCATACAACAATAGGTTTGATAAAGCATCGAGTTTGATCGTCGTCTGGTAGGCAGGCGCAGGCCGCGCGAGCGGGGGGCAGGTGGCATTGACAGAGGCCATGATCTACGGAGCGCGGTTAATGCCCGCGCGACTCGCTCGCCTCTCGCACGACAAGCGAGTGCTTTAGTATAACGCACCGCGACCGCGAGCGGCTACATTCAAAGATCGTTTTCATTTAATTATTCCTTGCAAGCGTATTAAATCAACTGTTGCCCGCGACCAAAGTCTACGTAAAATAATTTTATGATACACTACGAATGCTTAATTTTCGAATAGGAAAATTCATCAAAATCAATTCAGTTGTTTAAGTGTGAAAGAAAATGCAATTGATCGACGTAGTTACATAATCTTGCGTCGATAATGGATGTATGAATAAAATAAAAATAATGTGTACTCACTTGAAAGCTTTATCGTCTTCCTGACCGTTATGAAGCCCATTAGGTAAAGGTCCATGCTCATGCAGTTCATGGAGATCTTTTTCGAATGGTGAAGCAGATTTGTCCTCGGGGCGCTCCTCGAGAACCATCCCACGCAAGCCAGCCACCACTCCGGCAACTTTCTCGCCGCCACCGCCAGCTGCAACTCCGCCAGCTTCTAAGAAAAGAAAAATATGGTGTATGTAGAGATGTCCGAAAATTCCCTCTTTTAGATGTACATTCTTAATATAAGACGTAAAGCGATGTTTTTTCAACTTATTACTGGCAGTTTAAGGTTATTTTCATAACCTTCATTAGTGACGATTGAGAAAATAAATCATCATCAGCCTATTTATGTATCTCGGGGCATAGGCCTTTTCTATGAATTTAATAGGGAGACTGGGCCGTGTCCCACCACGCATACTCAGTGCAGATTGGTAGGTGCTAACGACTGGAGATGCAGCCGGGACAAAACGGCTCTCGAACGGCACGTAGGAGCTCTAGATAATGAGTTTTCAACTGTTAGCATAGTTTTTATTACCTGTAGGTGATCCCCCTAGTACATATTCAACCATCTTCACTCCTAGTCCAGCGGTATCGCGAGGTGACAAAATGCTGCCCGCGTCCCCGCCAGGAAAAGCAACTCCACGTCGCGTGCTCATCATCGGCACTCCGACATTATGCTCCACCGCTACAACATCAATGACATACCCATATTCTTTACTACACCATCATCACCACCATACAATTAGCATAATAGTATAACTTTGACAGGCCTTACTGGTTGGTTGTGAATGAAATGAATAGACAATTTTATTCCTAAAGCATTCAATGCACAGCCAAAGGTACTTCAGATAGGTAAAGATTCGTGACCTGTGCTGTGCAGTTAAAAACAGTTCAGTGCTTATTAATGTTACTGACCATATTTTCACCACATTTATGGCTTGCAAGCATACTTTCCTGCCATAAATGTTAAAAACGTGTCCTGATGCGGATCAAAAGGCCTTGATTACTGAATCTTCAACATAACAACTATGCAGTGATATGGATTTTGTGATCCAAGAATTAACCGATGTTTTCCGCCGATGGCTGTAGCGGTCATCACTATGTTATAGTACCTATCGACAGAATACGTAATAACATGTCCTAAAAGAAAGGTATTCCACAAAAATCGCAAATTCGCGAGAACTTTGTGCATCCAACACACACACATCATGCGAAGGTCAACTAGGTAGGTCGCTTATTCTATATTGTTTGATCGTAGGTTGGTATCGTAAGCAGAAAATCTTCACGAATCGCGCTCAATTAGGACACCGTCAAGATAATCAATAGGATGGATTTCACCATCTACCACAGCAGTGCGTAGGGGAATCGTATTAGACCATTACAACCAAAGCAAATTGTATTTATTGAAAAAATTCAAACAAGAAGATTGCGTTCTATATGTAGTTTGCTATCCTATTTAAAGGTGTAGGTTCGATATTTGGAAACAATATATATTAAAAAGAACTTCACTATAAAGTAAGACTTACCTTGGGCAGACCATGTGGGGTCTCGCCACATTTGCTCTGGATTAAGTTGCAGTGGAGGCAGGTGCGGTGGCCCTTTGCTGTCGCCGCCAGCACCTGGGCCTTTATCCCACAGTTTTTTTGCAGCTGGTGCAATCTGCATATAGAGAAATATTCTATTTACAACTATTCTAGGTATAATATACCTTTAATACTTACTAGGTTACCAAAGACAAGATAATACATTGATTGTGGGATTCATTCTGCCACAATTCTTCTAATATACTAAAAATCGACAGCAGTATATAACATTATTATCATGGTTTATGGGAGAGCTACTTGTCAAATGTAGTTTTAAGTTTAGATTAGAGAATGAAATCATATCAGAATTAGAGCAAATTTCGTACTAAGTATACTTGTCAGGGAGATGGAGCATCAGAGGTGCAAAAGTATAAAACAGGTAAAAAAATACTTTGGTGGGGACATAAAAATGCAATTCAGCCATAACTCAAAGGTTTATTAGTTATTAGCGTTGTTCAGAACCCCTCTACAAATTTGACCATTATTATTTTAGCCATAGCAACAGGGCTCAAATTAGTTTTTCTTCCAACTCTGATGCAACACCAAAAGTTGAGGCTTGTTAACTGCAAAAGGGGGCTGTCTCAGAAATCTAATAACATATTTTTTTCTTATGCTTAATTTTACTTTTCAAAATAACCACACCCTTTCACAACTTTACTTGTAGGGAAATGAGCACCAGATGAGCAGGTGTTAAAATTACTAGGGAATCAAAGGCGCAGCCCAAAAATTGCTACTATCGTATCTCAATTACAGAGTTCAAACTGAAGAGGAAAATGGTGTTAAAGTCATCTGGATCTTATGTGAAAATTGGTGTTCGACAGGGATCGATTTTGGGTCTGTTTCTATTTTCATTGTACATAAATAGTAAAGTTAGTTCAGCAGCAGCTTATGCCATACATATAATAAAACAAATTACTAATGTAGACATTGCTAGAATTGTATACCTTAGTTATTTTCATAGTATTGTATCCTATGGTATTATTCTCTGGGGAATAGCAGCCGATATTGAAACTATATTTATCTTGCAAAAAAAAAGCGAAAAGGGCTATTTATCAAGGGCTGCTTCTCAATTCCCTTATAATTGTATACTTTTTGTTCAAAGTAAAAATAAAACTATTATCTCAAACACAGTGACATACATCCTTTAAATACAAGGAATAAAAATAAACTCAAAAGATAACAACTTACAAGTTATATATATTAACTTGCTAAAATTAAAGGTATGCAATAAATTGCTTAAAATATAGAAAATAATACATAGGGATAAACGGAACGGCTATTACGATACTAATAAATGACGAATTCATCGTAATGGCGCGCCCCATACGATAATGAATTACTTAGATACGAATGCAATTATGATTTTTGTTTTATAGCATTTTATTGAATTTATTTGAAGCTTTGTTTGTACTTATCACTTTGTGTGTTATTATATCAATATTAATATAGGAAAAAAATAAAGTTCGGATTTTTAATTTGCTTATTTATTTAATTTTATAATTAAGTTATCTTTTTTAATTGTTTAATTTTTTTGTTCTTTTTTCTGCGTTAAAGCTGTTGATGTCAACAAAAGGGATGGATTGTGTTTAGACATTGACGCGCTGTGTATTTCCTTTCACTCGAAACTGTAGTAACTACTTTTAAAAATGAAAAAAATATGGGAAAACAATGAATCCTATAGGTATATCGTATCGTAATGATTACGATATCGAATGATCATAAAACTTACGATACTCGCAGATATATGATTCTCGTATCGGTATCGTTGCATCCTTAATAATACATAGAATACATCATAATAAAACCATTTGACAATTGGTTTTGATTACACTATCATGTTAGGGATATTGATGGCGTTAAGGTAGCATTAGATTCTTAGTGACCGGCGAGCGAGACCGGGGGGCAATTGCCTAACGGGATATGGCTATCGCTATCGCTTCAGATTTAAACTTGTTATTTCTGGCCGCCGAAGGTTTTCAAATGCCACGCGCTCTTTTTTACTTTTGTCTTGGTAATAACAGTATTAAAGAAAATGATCGTGAGGTATTTGAAAACTGTCAGTACTAACAAATAGAAATCGTCAGCGATAGCCATAGCAATCCCGTAAGGCGATTGCCCACGGGTCGGTGAACCACTGTTTTGTATGAATTTATATGAAGCACTAAAGCCAACTCCGCGACTACGACGGGCGCGACCTGTGGGCGTGGCCAGAGAACGGCGAGGCGACCGCAACCCGTTGTAGACAGTGCCGTCGCGCGACTCAGGCAAGAATATAATATTGATTGAATTATTAAATAAAAAAAACCTACTTTTCCATGACGTGAGCATATCAAAATATATTAATGAAGAAACTGGCTGACTGACATATCAACGCAAAGCCCAAACCGCTAGCTCCAAATTTGGCAAGGAGGTTCCGAATAAGTAACCGTATTTTAGTAATTTTTTGAAATTGAAAGCCGTTATATAACATTTGACGAATTCGTAGCTGCACTTAGTATGTCAGCCAATAGTGAACCGATTAGATGTCATTTATTTAATTTATTTTTTTAAATTTAATATCATGTTCACATAGTTGACTATTTGCAACATTGTTAAAACAATGAAAACCGGTTTGAGAGTGAACACAGAATAGGCGGTTACTGGATAGAAAGACAGATATTGCTAGCTCTTTCTCTCTTGAATATAATAATTATAACGATAAACACCTTTAACTCCGTGAGTATGAAAGAAACCATAAAACACTTGCCGTACTGCTCCTACATTTTATAACTGTTAATTGCTATGCTATGATTACTAATGAGTAGGTTATCTTTTATGTGTACATAAAGGCATTACAAAATGTAATTAAAATAATAATATATTTATTTCCATAATAAGTTAGTGCTACAGTGTACAGCTTAGCTTAATACTAATATGTTATATTATATTGTTTTTTTACGGAATAATATGCACATAACATTTTTTGCAAATAGGAGAATATTGCTGTTGTATATAAATATTAACCTAAAAGAATATTAAACATTATTTTGCTATCCATACTTTTTGGTTATATTTGCCTTGGGATAAGTTAGGAACCAGTTTAGGTTGAATTAAGAAAATATAATAAAATATCTTGAGTTAGGAATACTATTTTGGGATGATTAAGTATTTGGGATGGTTCATAGATTGAATACGGAACCCCTTTTCCTTTTACTCTTTCCCTAGCACTCCGTGGCACTATATCGAGCCCTTACCGCCAAATTATCGTAAGCGACACTTTTGTCGAAATGCGTTTTTTGTGGAAACTAATTTTTTAAACCGTAACGGACCCATCTCTGTTGATATTTCCCTCTATTCTTCCCTCTATTATATTATTACGGTGTTCTTTTGGAGGGAAATATCAACAGAGATGGGTCCGTTACGGTTTAAAATATTAGTTTCCACAAAAAACGCATTTCGACAAAAGTGTCGCTTACGATAATTTGGCGAATGTCGCTTACGATAATTTGGCGGTAAGGGCTCGATATTACTACAGGGCATTCAGAATTAGATAAGATATAAATTCATAGAAATAAAGCCGATATTCTTCTGCCTACAGCGACAAGTCGTAAAAGGATCCATTCTTTTCTCGTACAAATCTAACCAATCTTGTAACCTCAAGGATTATCATGCATTTATGTGTAGAAAAAAAGAATTAATTATTTGGTATACCTTTTAAATATTTTGGTGAACAAAAAAAAGAAGCCTTAAAATTTATATGGCCAGCATACATAGATTTTACTAGCAGTAACATAAATCTGGCTGCAATTATGTTCAGTAAATAATCATGATAATGGTCAGTAATTTAAACATAAGATGGTTCGATTCCTATCTTCGGGGTCGCTCACAGTGTGTTCGCCTTGATGACATAACCTCTGATGGGTGTGAACTCAGTGTAGGTGTACCTCAGGGAGGTGTTCTCTCGCCTCTCCTATTCTCCATTTTTATCAACTCAGTTATAAGAGTTATCTCCTCCAAGTTCCATCTCTACGCAGATGACTTGCAGCTTTATCGTCATTTCAATATTGACGAAACGGACTCCACGATAGCAGCCATTAATGAAGACTTTAACCTTATCAGTACTTGGGCAAAATTTTATGGTCTCTCAGTTAATCCCTGTAAATCACAGGCGATCATCATTGGGTACTCCTTTATGATACTTTCCTTTCATTTACCACCAGTTTCAATATGTGGAATCAATATTTCTTACAGTATAACGGTGAAAAATCTCGGAGTGACAATTGATACCAATCTCTCATGGACAGCCCACGTCAATGGTGCAAGTCGCAACATGTATTTTTCACTTCACACCTTAGTGTTTACAAAATTTTCTTCCTCTACATTCTAAAATTGCCCTTGCACAATCTCTTATTCTACCCCTTCTCGACTATGCCGATGCTTGCTATTTAGACGCTACGGAGGTTTTGCTTAACAAACTTGAGCGCCTGCAGAATCTTGCCATCTTTGGTCTTCGTAAGTACGATCACGTCTCCAACTTCCGAAAGGAACTCAAGTGGCTCCCCATACGTCTGCGCAGGAATGTCAGAATCCTTTGTATCCTTTTCAACATCCTTTACAATCCTTTATATCCTTCTTACCTTCTGGAGCGGTTTTCTTTCACCCACTCGCCTGATGTTCCTTGCCGGTCCCACCTAAAATCCCTTCTCAAATGTCCTACTCACAAAACTGACTTTGCCTACTCTTTTACCGTACATGCCGTCCGCTTGTGGAACTCGTTGCCAGCAGAAACCAGAGACGACCATTTCTACCTTTAAAAAACGATTGAAGAAACACTTTTCTACTTGAATTTCTAAAACTTTATTGCTTCTTCTAGTAAGTTTTTGTTTATTTTATATTAATATACATTAATTTATTTGTAAATATTGTATATATATGTTTATGTTGAATATGTATTATGTTATAAACTACTCAAAACAAAATAGGGCCCACCCATAAATAATCCAGTATATTGTCTAAAAAAAATATATAGGGCAATTATTGTCGAGTTGAAGCATTTTAACTTATTGTTGACATGTTTACGAATCTTTATCAATGTTT